GACTGATTTTTCTACATGTCCTACGATAAATTAGTACTACGATTGGATATCTTAACTTAAGTGGTTTTATGCATATCAGCCCTGGTTCTTTTGATATGAATTAAAGGAGAAGTATTGTACACGTAAATGAGACATCAACCCAATAACAAAAACAAGATTTATAGTTCAACAAAGGTCTTCCATTGTACAGATGAGCCTTGGCAATTTACCACGTTCTTATTCGATCTGATTCTTAAAAAATGTTGAATATCTCTCCTGAAACTACAAAAAAATGTAAAAGAAATAGAAGGAAAAAACGATAAACGAATATTTGTTTATTTTGTATATTAAAGAAAACACAATTTGTGTGTATTCTTTTTTTAAGGAATAAGCATTACCACTTCTCTCTTTTTTTTTCTTTATCTTTGTCGTTAAGAATTAGCATCGACTTGTATACATTACGAAATTGACAAAAAAGGGATCGTGCAAATGAATAATTTTCTTTAAAAAAATTATCACAAAATAGTCGTAAAGAAGCTATAAATAGGAAAAATAAAAATAGATTTCGTGGCTTTTATTTATCCAGAGCCGATTTGGGATTAATACTTGCTACTTTTCGCGAGTAGATAATAATTATATAAACTAATAACGTTTTAAATTCATAACAAATATAGTACAAATAACAATTAACTGCTATCAGAAGTTGTTGCGATTTTTTAGTATTGGGATAATAGCAACGAGGTACATTTTAGTTTCACAAAAATAAAAACTTGCATTTTATATTATGATTATAGCATTGTTTGTATCCAGCAGTTACATTTATATTTAAAACTAATATTGCATTTTTGTCCATCCCATTACTAAAATCAGCAAAAATCTCCTAATTTACGTACAACGCAAAAAGGCTACCACAATAATATTTTGATAAAATTTTATTCACACATTTCTAGCTTCTAAACGAAAGATGGGGAAAGTTTTTAAAAATGTGCATCACAAAGACTCAAATTCTTTGTTGCCTATGTTAAAACAACGCATTTTATTTCTCAATCTGTTTTTCTTCAGATGCAAAATTTTATTCGATGTTAATCTGCCCTCCAACTCGAAAATGACGTGTAGTTTGAGGAAACATTTTATAATACCAATTAAATGAAGGTAATTAATACTATTCTTCCATTCCCAAGAACTGGAAAACGATCGGTTAATTGATTGCAATGGTTGCATGTTGAATGCGTGTAAGAGATCCAGGGACAAATATTTGAAGCATAATCAATTCACGGAGATAGGCCTTTATAGAATGAAGAAAATAACTAAACATCAAGTGACATATATTTTTTCATTAATTTCGACACGATAAGAACAGGTATCCAACCAAAATAACAGTAGGAAAACTTATAGTCATTTTTTATTACATTTTGTTTTATTCTTTCATTAAGTGGAGGATATTAAACGACTAAAATTCCAGAGACAATTTTTTTAGAATATTTATATTGTCACGATAAAAACAAATGTCAACCAATTTATCAATATCGCCTCTTCGTTTATAGATCACGTTATTCTTTTTTATCATTTGTTTCAAGTACAATGTATAGGGAACCATTTTTAACTTAGGTTAGGTTTACAAGCTTTTGATAAATTGTTGTGTATGCATTTTGTTTACATTTATTAGGACGTTTTATGGTCATTGATTTCATGGTTTACTAGGCCAAGGAGGCGGAGCTAGACAGTGAAATAACAACTTTTGAGATGGAAGTTAGAGCACTGGTCTAAGCTCCTCCTATTCTTTGCTTTTCCTATGGCAAGCGACACACGGCGAGACTGGAGAGTGCAATAACTAAAAAATCATTCAGTTAACGCACTCCTCTAAAAATAACCGAAGTTAACATCACTCGAAGATCAAAGGAAAAATTACCATTCATGTTACAATAATTTTTAGACGATATGCAGACAATCATTATCCTTCTTTTCGAATGATCTGTAAAAAGATGATTTCTTTCTATTTGACGTCATCAGGCATGGTTGCCTTTTTTCATGACGTCACAATGAGAATTTCAGAGGAAAGCAAGAAATTAGACGTCATAATCGAATTTTGACCAATGGCAAACTGAGATCAAACGAACCACACGTTGATTAAATAAAAAATAATCAATAGGTCAGGAAAAGTATAAATCGAGTAAGAATTAGAGAAATATTTTTAGTAATAAAAGAAGTATGCAGATGTTTTGTATAAAAAGAAGCATTGTATATCAAGCTGTTGCTTTCATATGCAATAATACTTATTATTCTTAGTAAGGAAAGCAAGCTCCTGTGACCATGCTTTCCTGTAAGGTTCGAAATTTACCTGATAAATGCTATACTTTCTTTTTCGCTTTTTAAGATAAAAATAGACGACGTTAACGTGATAAATATAGACGGCTTTTTTTTAGTGATAGTCCTATCTTAAAATGGGAAGCGCTTTTTGTATAAAAATAATCTGTGTAAACTACAGACTTAACTTGAATTATTTTTATGTGTAGAATTGAATGGGACTGGTATATAAAGTACGACATTTTCCACAAAAGCCTTGATTGTTTAATAGATTTGAAATAAATGCACTGTTTTGCTGCTTAACACCATTATTTTAATTTTATACCTGTATTAAACGATTAAGAGCATAACATGCTAAATATTTCTTGTGTTTTCATATTTCGTTATACGTGCATAAAAAACAGCGAAATGTTCTTAAGTGCGATGTATTGTAAAAATACGGCAGCAAATTAGTAAAGTTAACAAAACAGACGATACAAAGCATCATCAAAATCGGACTGCACAGTTTATATTCTTCTATTATTTATACGACAAAACAGTGGATGTAGTCAGCCGTAAGCGGTTGAGCTTAGGAAATCTTCTTTAGCTCAGTCGATATACGTGCTGCCTTGTAACACAGAGGTCACGGGTTCGAGCCCCGGAGGAGACAGGTGATTTTGTAAGAAAAATCATGCTCTCCTGTTACAGTTTATATACCTGACAAACATCAGTATCATCCAATCTCCGGCGCAGAGATCATATCCGTTCCGTTCAATACTACGTAACACTACACTCATATTAAGTGTAGTATTGCGGAGCATGTACGGAACGGATATGAACTCTGCGCCGGAGATTGAGTATCATCAATATTTGAGAATAAATAGGAAGCGACGCAATGTTATTTTACAAACGTCTATCATGCGATATCAATGAATTCCATTTTTACCGCATAAAATTTACCTTTTCTTTCAATAAGGATACCATCGTGTATATTTATGTGGATCCGATTCGTTGAAGTGGAATTCCCTTTTAACTAAACAAAAAATGGCTATTGTATAGAAAAAAATGTATTTCGTGATCAGTTCAATGAAACCAAAATTTGTAATTAGGCATCGTAAGGTCTTCATGTGAGAAATTCATATTAGGGTTGCCTTTTCACTGTATATAGAATATATAGAATACATACGTACAATACCAATAACAATCAGTGCTGGAAAATCACTTTACTTTAAAATAACGGTTTCATAAACAAAACTAAAAGCAAAACGATAATAACTAGATATTGTGATATCAACCCTCCAATGGGAAAACAAAAGGTACATATATATGGTCGCTTAAAGTTAACCAGTGAGGCACGTTAACCAGCGATGGAGCAAGTATGAGACCGTCCTTTCAATCATTCTTTACATATTTTTTTTTCGTTTATTGTGTTGTATAGTTTGTTCTTGTGTTGTGCCGTTGCACCATTGTCCCAGGTAAGGGGAGGGTTTGGCACCAGCAAACTAGTTTAACCCCGTCACATTCTGAATGTGTCTGTCCCAAGCCAGGAGCCTGTAATTCAGTGGTTGTCGTTTGTTGCTGTATATCATTTTTGTTTTTCGTTCATTATTTTGTACATAAATCGGGCCGTTGGTTTCCTCGTTTGAATTGTTTTACATTTTTCATTTCGGGGCCTTTTATAGCTGACTATGCGGTATGGGTTTTACTCATTGTTGAAGGTCGTACGGTGACCTATAGTTGTTAATTTCTGTGTTATATGGTTTCTTGTGGAGGGTTGTCTCATTGGCAATCATACCACATCTTCTTATTTATATATACATTTTGTATCTATAGAGGTCATGAGCATATTTGCGCAGATCTCGATTTACAGACTATTCATATCATTGAAAACACTATAAACTGTTCTCGTAAAGAGAACATTTCTGTTATTTTGAAAGTATTTTAAGGCTTTTGGGCCTACGGAAATTTTAGAATTGTACAAGCGTTTTTGTGTTCGGTTTTAATTGTTTTCATTGTATAAATTTCAAGATTGTTATAGTTAAATCATAAAAGATTGATATGATTCATCTTACATCATAATCATAATGATGAAGGATATCTGTTATCCGAAATATTTACAGATAATTACATTTAATGTTTCCTTTTTATTTATTATTGGTGTTTTTTTGTACACTTTTTAGGCGTTTATATATATATATATATATATATATATACATACATAATTACTCTAAATATCAGCACAATAATGTAAAATCTGCAAATTTGTTGTTCAATTGTGACATCACATAAAAAAGACTTATCAGCGAATTATCATGCGCAGCACGACGATGTGGAACTGGATTTTCTAACCTTTCCGGAGCATCTGAGATCATCCCCGGTCTAGGGTGGATTTCGTTTTGCTCTGTCTTTAGTTTTCTGTAAAGTGTGTTGTATACTCTTATTTGCCTGTTATTCTTTTCGGTTTCTTTTCGACTTATGAATTCGACCGTCCCTTTGGTATCTTCCGAGTCTTTTATTCAAGATAAGTGTTTCACCGTTTTTTTTTCTACAAAATATCATAAAAGATTATCCGAATTGGAAAATTATATTTGTGGAAAAATTAATAAACGTTTCGAAGACTGGAAGCCTCAATATGAAAAGCAGTGGAATCAAGGAATACTGTAATAGTTAAGGACCTAAAAAATAAAAGTGTCTAGTTAAACAAAAATAAGAGGCCGGCTTGAAAAACAAAAATGAAACACAAAAAACATAAAGTTTTTAATTCAAAAGTTAAAATCTAAAGATATTCCTGATAGATGATCGTTACAAATAAACCAATCTGTTAACATCAGACATCACCACAATGTATATAATCGTGTATAACTGAGGGGCATCGGATGAAACGCTGAACCAATCAAGTTACAACTTCACTAGATGTGATGTGAATCTCATGGAATCATCTTCCTATGATAAAATGAATAAAAGTCAAAGGATACAGACATTTGAAAATATTTGAATTTCGAATTATTTGCCGACATCGTTGATCAGGTCAAAGCTATCAAATTGTACAATATTTTCTTGGAAAACATAAACAACTAGCATTAGTAAGAAATTTGTTTGTTATTCCAGTAACCGTCAATATCAATATATATATCAATTTTTATTTAAACATCCCAATAATAATTATCACACATTTAGGACAATTGTAGGAAGAGAAAAAAGCATTCACCGTTTGAAGTTATCTAAAAAAAAATATATATATTTCAGAGAATAATATATATTAAGAATTGCCTCGCTGCAATGTTTTTTTTATTTGTTATATATATATACAAGTCTAAATTGAAAACAATATATATATATTAGACACGTGATATGAAATAACCAATATACTGTCAAAATTCTCACAATACAATTGTACAATCTAATAAAAAAAGATAGTTTTCTACATTAATTTAATTTACTTTAATTTTTTTCACAAGTTAATATTTATTTGTATTGTAATGTTTTCCTATGATTTAAAACTAACCTTTTCTCTGCTCGTGTTTTGTAGACAAGCAGCCGGAATGTCAAATACGGTAAAATTCCTCACGCCAAGTGTTAAACCAAAGAAATGACTATTTTGGACTTCGTCAGTTGAATAGTCAGTCTCCGCAAGGACCGCACAGCTTGTTTTTTCCACTGTCAAAGTTACGTACCAGTTTTGAAACTTGACAAAGTATATGTCAACTTTCACTGTGTCGTTCCCAGTTCCATAATAAGATGACACTTTAAGCTCAGCTTCTTCTGAATCGACAAAGATTGTAGACAAATCAATTATCTGTATAAAGCCTTGTTATGACTTTTATAAATAACATCAAAGTAGAAGTGATAATTGCAATATTTAAAGATATCCAATGATCCTCAAAATTTCAATCATTATGAGCTTGAAAAGATTTCGATATTGAAACGTCTCTTAACAGGATATTCAAAATTGAAAAGAACTGCAGTTCTCGACAAGTATCTCCAAAACAAGCATACGGACATACATTCATTTTGGTTGATACTACATTTAAACAATTTTTTATTTGAATAGAGTGATCCATTTATTTGATTTTTGATTGTTCGTTCATATGCAAATTTATATATTTTAAGTTAGTTTCTGTGTAGATATGTATGCATTTGCAATATATCTTGTTATACTACAAAGCATACTTATTTGAGTGACTAAAATTGTGAAAACTGTTTGTTTTCGGAATATCTCAAAAGTTAAGTTTGCGAAACTTTAAAAAATCTTCCTTTTCAAAACAAATGCAACAAAAACGATAGCTGATATCAAATTAGAAAGTAACTGCTTACCTGGAACACGTTTTACAAGCGATTCAGATAAGTCAGAAAGTAAATGCTGACCTGGAACACATTTGACAAGCGGTATAGATAAATAAGAAAGTAAATGCTTACCTGGAACACATTTGAAAAGCGTTTTAGATAAATTAGAAAATATATGCTTACCTGGAACAAATTTGACAAGCGGTTAAGGTACATAATTAAGTAAATGCTTACCTGGAACACATTTGACAAGCGGTTTAGATAAATTAGAAAGTAAATGCTTACCTGGAACACATTTGACAAGCGGTTAAGATAAATAAGAAAGTAAAGGCTTACCTGGAACACATTTGAAAAGCGGTTTAGATAAATCAGAAAGTAAATGCTTGCCTGGAACTCGTTTGACAAGCGGTATAGATAAATTAGAAAGTAAAGGCTTACCTGGAACACATTTGAAAAGCGTTTTAGATAAATTAGAAAATATATGCTTACCTGGAACAAATTTGACAAGCGGTTAAGGTACATAATTAAGTAAATGCTTACCTGGAACACATTTGACAAGCGGTTTAGATAAATTAGAAAGTAAATGCTTACCTGGAACACATTTGACAAGCGGTTAAGATAAATAAGAAAGTAAAGGCTTACCTGGAACACATTTGAAAAGCGGTTTAGATAAATCAGAAAGTAAATGCTTGCCTGGAACTCGTTTGACAAGCGGTATAGATAAATTAGAAAGTAAAGGCTTACTTGGAACATATTTGATAAGCGGTTTAGATAAATTAGAAAGTAAATGCTTATCTGGAGCACATTTGACAAGCGGTTTTGATAAATTAGAAAGTAAAGGCTTAACTAGAACACATTTGAAAAGTGGTTTAGATAAATTGGAAAGTAAATGCCCACCTGTAACATATTTGACAAGCGCTTTTGATAAATTCGAAAGTATATGCTTACCTGGAATACATTTGACAAGCGGTTTAGATAAATTAGAAAGTACATGCTTACCTGGAATACATTTGACAAGCGGTTTAGATAAATTAGAAACGATACATAGGCCATCTGTTACGTTGTATAACTTATCCTGGAATCAAATGATATGAAATCAGCAATCAGACACATTCTTAACGACACAAAACAAATGCATCTATTTTTTTTCTACATTAGAAAATGCCTGTACCAAGTCAGGAATATGACAGTTGTTATCCATTTGTTTGATGTGATTGAGCTTTTGATTTTGCAATTTGCTTATGGACTTTCCGTTAAGAATTTTCCTCGGAGTTCGGTATTTTTGTTATTTTACTTTTTGCAGGTCAAGTAATCTCTAGTTTAAATCATAACAAGTATAAAACTGGAATCATTTTGTGCATTACACGGTAATCCTTTTCAAACGTATGGACAAAAAACTAACATTTGAACGAATACCGACAGATTTCCTCTAAACACATCGCATATCAGAGGCCAGAAATAGAACAATTTGAGAATTGAAAAAAATATTGTTTTCAGAATTTATCAAATTAAAAGGTGAATTTTTAAACGGTTAGCATCTTTATATAAGATATCTGACAAATAGAACGAAATATTTAACATAAAACCAAATATAGATATTTGTTTTATCAAAAAACATAATCAATTAAAAACGGGTAGTGCGTTTCTTTCAGAACGACAGATACTGTCTATGGATAATAGTATTCGCAACAAATTGTTTTAACTTTTCCATAACATTGTGTCACTCCTCATGTCTTTTCCAAGGCAATGCAACGCAGTCCTTGAATTCTATATATTTTATAAGCATACATTTCATAACCTCTTCTGACAATATTTCCAACGTTTTGTAATTATTTCTTCTGTTTTCCAAAATGCAATTATTACTAGTTCCTATACATGCATTTTCAAAATATATTCTTATTTGTCAAATGTTGAAAGAAATGCATCTTGAAATTTTGTTTTTCTTTTTCAACTGAAAGGATTTCATTAATATCACTGATGAGATTTTGAATTGCAGTGTCTATCATACTTTAAACAACAACCTAGCTTTAAATTTAACTGGATGCTTATTTTATTTTAAATATGTAATGTAAGTTTACTGCAAGCGTGATCTGACTACTAATGACAGATGAGGTTGTTTCTAAGGGTGGGTCTTCATATACGCCCATAGAACTAAGTTTTATATTTTGACCTAGAAAATTAAAGTGTCAATTAAAATAGAAGCGTAAGATACCAAGAAGCATTCAAATCACATAAATCGAGAGAAACTGACAAAGAACTAAAACACGACGAAGAGACAAACAATTTCACATTAAAAAAATTGAAGAAAATAGAAATTAAAACTGGAATATTTTAAAGGTTTTTCTTTAATATATCTTACATTTCTATAATCAAATAAAATATGAACATCATGCATTTCTCCATTGTACATCTTCCCGTTATAGTAAGCCTTCTCTATAGTAGTATCCGAAGAAAATTTATACCAGCCCTGAAATTAGAATCATAGAAAATATGATTTTACGCTTGTGTTTATATTTATTAACACCAACATTTTCTACGATTTTGGTGTTTTGCCCCTTCGTATTATCCCTTTTTTTAACGCAAGTATCCGAATTACCGATCATATGTATAAAGCATTTCTCATGGTCGATGGAAAAACATTTAGATTTAAAATATATACCGTTTTACCAGAAACAAACTACATATAACAGACGACTCGAATGAGGCTGTAATTCAGAAGATGGCGTTTGGTTGCTGTCATTTTCGTTTTTCTTTTATGGTTTTGTCATGAATTATAGGTCAGGCTGATAGTTTTCTCATTTCAATTGTTTACATTTTGTCGTTTTATAGCTGATTATACGGTATGGATTTTGCTCATACGCCATACGCTGATCAATAAATGCTTACAAAAACGTAATTTGGACTTAAGTGCATAGTTGTCTCATTGGCAATCTCTTTAGTTTAAACCGAAATAAATGTTCCATTTTGAAGTTCAGAAACACAACCACTTTAAAACTTTTTTCTATTTTACTCATTTCAATTAATATAACATAATTCGCAAAAAATAGCACACAATACAACAGACTATATAAAGGCAACAGTAATATACCGGTGTTCAAAAATCATAAATCGATTGAGAGAAATAAATCCGGGTTACAAACTAAAACCGAGGGAAACACATCAAGTATAAGAGGGAAACAAAGGAACAACACTGAAGTGCAACAAAAACAAACGCCAATTAACATACATAGAAACGAGCTATATGATCAATGTATCAATCACCAACACCCGTCTGCTCATAAAAAAACCAGGTATATAATAAAGACAAAGAAGAAGAACGAACAACATATGGTTTCGACAATTTGAGTTGGTACAGGCACATGTTAGTAGGGATAAAACCAGTTACATGTGCGTACAAATCTTACCATTTCAAATTAAGGAATATATCTCCCTCATCCAAATCTCTGATTCCTTGTCTTGATTTTGTCTATACGTTAGTAGATATAAGAAGATGTGGTATCAGTGCCAATGAGACAACTCTCCATCCAAGTCACAATTTATAAAAGTAAACCAGTACGGTCTTCAACACGGAGCCTTGGCTCACACCGAACAGTAAGCTATAAAGGGCCCCAAAAATTACTAGTGTAAAACCATTCAAACGGGAAAAACCAACGGTCTAATCTATATTAAAAAGTTAGGTCCTTTTTGGTTTTATCAGCTCAACAAAGTTTGTATTAGATTTTGGAGTTTTAAAAATTTCGTCATCGAACATCACTGAAAACACTTCTATTCTCAAAATGAGGGTCTGGAGCAGTAAAATTTGTACCGTTAATTTTAATGAATATCTAGACCATATGACGTAAAACTACTAAAGTAAAACAAACAAACAATTAAAAAACTGTTACAGAGCAGCTTCTAACAGGGTGACTGCTTGTTTAAAAAACGGGATTTAAAGAGAATTTTATATGGAAAGCAAGATCAAAATGTACTCGCTGCTACAGGAAGCAATGAATGAATGAGCACTTAATTATTAGGCTGATCTAACTTGCTTTAACAAATAAAAGATGTTTGAAAATTGTACTGGTAATAAATATATGTTATTGCATAAGTTACCAATCACTTTAGATTATAAAAATATGTACCTTAAATAACTAAAACAATGTCCCAAATAGTATCATATGAAATGCTTCCTTACCGAAGATACTGGATCAGCTCCTTTTTTGTTGGTAAATCTAAAGTAACCTTCGCCTTTCTCAGGAAAACAACAGGCAATTCCTTCATTTATGAATATTGCAAATATCAAGCAACTGTACCAATAGACTGCCATGATTGTAAAGTTTACTACTATAATATTAGTAACTTCTTTTTATATTTATTTAAATTTTTATAAAAAAAAAAGCGTTACACAGACAGGAAAGTACAAGGAAACTGCGAAATGAAACTCTTTACACAGTGATCTTGTTTAAGGATAACAGCGAGAAAAGATTAAAATGGCACGATGAACTGAGAAAAGACGATATATAAAGGCAATAGTAGTATATACCGCTGTTCAATAGTCATAAATCGATTTAACTGAAACAAATTTGGGTCACAAACCAAAACTGAGGGAAACACATCAACTATAAGAGGAAACAAAACGGAACAAAAGAAATACTGAACTGCTACAAAAACAAACGCCAACATACATAAAAATGGACTACGTGATAACAAGTGCCATATTCCTAACTTGGTACAGGACATTTTAAGAAAAAATGGTGGGTTGAACCTGGTTTTATGTTTTTTTTATAAATTTTGGAGAGGCCAACAGACATGTAGAAGTTAACAGCTATAGGTCATCGTATGTCCTTCAACAATGAGCAAAACCCATACCGCACAGAAACCTATATAAACCCCGAAATGACAATTGTAAAAAAAATTCAAACTAGAAAACTAACGGCCTGATTTATGTAGAAAACAATAAACGAAAAACAAAGATGAGATACATGAACAAACGATAACCACTAAATTATAGGCTTCTGACTTGGGACAGGCGCATTCAAAAAGGGGTGGGACCAAATCTACACCCTAACCTGAGACAGTGGTGTAACAGTAACAGTTCAACATAAAAGCACACTATACGACTCAGTTGAAAAGCCCATTTATCGCCGAACTAATACACACACTTACATATCTGCAGAGTGTAGTTACCAAACTGATACACACACTTACATATATGCAGAGTGTAGTTACCAAACTGATACACACACTTACATATCTGCAGAGTGTAATTACCAAACTGATACACATACTTACATATCTGCAGAGTGTAGTTACCAAACTGATACACACACTTACATATCTGCAGAGTGTAGTTACCAAACTAATACACACATTTACATATCTGCAGAGTGTAGTTACCAAACTAATACACACACTTACATATCTGCAGAGTGTAGTTACCAAACTGATACACACACTTACATATCTGCAGAGTGTAGTTACCAAACTGATACACACACTTACATATCTGCAGAGTGTAGTTACCAAACTAATACACACACTTACATATCTGCAGAGTGTAGTTACCAAACTAATACACACACTTACATATCTGCAGAGTGTAGTTACCAAACTAATACACACACTTACATATCTGCAGAGTGTAGTTACCAAAAAGATGACTGCTACCTCACAAGGAAGCTATTAAATCAAGAATTCCAAATGGTGAAGTTGAAATCATCCCTTCGAAAATTTTACGGAAGCCATAACAATTTGGTTAGCCGTTATGGAACATCTGATTTCAGATGACGACGGATATGTTCCGATCGTTTTAACTGCAATCCCGTTCTCTTTTTGTTCTAATGTGACCTACCGAATTAAACTTATCACCGGGTTTGTACTTACATGAACATCATGACGGAGCAGGATCTGCTTACCCTTCGTGAGCATCTGAGATCAACCAAGGTTTTTAGTAGGGTTCGTTTTGCTCAGTCTTTAGTTTTATATGTGTGTTTTATTCACTGTCGTTGACCATTTTCTGTTTTTTGCCATGGCGTTGTCAATAGATATAGGAAGATGTGGTATGAGTGCCAATGAGACAACTCTCCATCCAAGTTACAATTTATAAAAGTAAACCATTATAGGTCAAGGTACGGCCTTTAACACGGCGCCTTGGCTGAGACCGAACAGCAAGCTATAAAGGGCCTCAAAAATTACTAGTGTAAAACCATTCAAACGGGAAAACCAACGGTCTTATCTATATAAAAAACGAGAAACGAGTCAGTTAATTTTCGGCTGAGGAGTTTGCATATCTCTTTTGTTATCTTCACCTCTCTTGAACATATAAGATAGCTCACATGTTGTAATTTGTAAAATAGAATCAAGGCCGGGTAGATGTCATGACAGGCGTAAGTATCAGAGCAGTATCTGATAAAATCATCTAGCATGGCGAGCGTATTAAGACGATCACAGAATGTTCCATTTCAGGTACTGTACTCTTGATGAGGATTATATAAATTTTCAATGAGACAGCAACTTCACGTTTAAAATATCTGAATATATCGGGAGATCAACATACTATCTTCAAAGACAAATATCAATGTCAACTTCTTATATACAAAAAAATACCTCGAGTCTTCAGTAATGACTGCATAAATTTACAAATAATATCAATGATCTGCTGTCAAAAGCGAATTCTGTAAACAAAAGAAAACTTGATGTATTAAAAATAAAGTCAAATAAAATTGAGAATGGAAATGGGGAATATGTCAAAGAGACAACAACCCGAACAAAGATCAGACAACAACCGAAGGCCACCAATGGGTCTTCAGTAATGACTGCATAAATTCACAAATAATATCAATGATCTGCTGTCAACTGCGAATTCTGTAAACAAAAGAAAACTTGATGTATTAAAAATAAAGTCAAATAAAATTGAGAATGGAAATGGGGAATATGTCAAAGAGACAACAACCCAACCAAAGAGCAGACAACAACCGAAGGCCACTAATGGGTCTTCAACGCAGCGAGAAAATCCCGCACATGGAGGTGGTCCTCAGCTGGACCCTAAATAAAATTGTGTACTGGTTCAGTGAAAATGGACGTCACACTAAACTCCAAAACATATAACGGGACTAAAATGAAAAGAACATACAAGACTAACAAAGGCCAGAGGCTCCTAACTTGGGACAGGCGCAAAAATGAGGCGGGGTTAAACATGTTTTGTGAGATCTCAACCTCCCCCTATACCTCTCAAATACTTTGCGGTTCTGACTAGGGACAGGAAAAACATGTAAAAGTATTTTTTGAAGAACTCAAACCTCCCTCTTTGGGTCGTTATTAGTGAAGTAACTAAAGTTTCATATACATATAGGACAATGCATATCAAAATTAAATCTTTCAACTATATGATACTATAGTCGCCGTTATGTTAAAATGGCACGAGGTTTTTTGTAGAAATTTTTTAACTACCAATCGCGTTCTTTCGAGATGACGTTTTTAACTTAGCGAAACTAAAAACATTCCAAACACACCACTACTGACATATTGGGATTGAACTATTAATCCTGATCTTCACAATGACCTAAAGGGATTTGCATTGATAATCCACCATTTCTTTGAGAAATCCATTATTTACTCAACATTCGCAACTCTCCGGTAATATACTCTTTTAAAACAGTTGGTGTCGATTTCAAATTGGTCTCTGATTGAAAGTTGTCTTATTGGCTGTAGTAGTACATCTTCTTATTTTTTTTAAAGTATTTTTTAGAACTGCATTAATCTCAATACACCAAGGTATTAATGGTAAAGCTAAAAGGAGGAAATTTCAATTTTTACTATATAAAACTTGAAATGTATTCTTCCTTATATGTAGCACAAAATTGAGATTAATTTGTTTTGAACAAGTTAAATTTATGTTTAACGATCACCATAGTCTTTAATTTGTAAACATTTGTTTTTGAAAATGCTTCTTTTATGATTATGACTCGTTGCCATATGGGATAATTTAACTTATTAAGATTCACACTATCCAGATTGGATATAATATCGTACTTTAATGTAGGCCACAGTAGTTAATCAATATTAAAATCAGTTAAGAACATACAAACCAAGGTTAAAACTAATTACGCTTTTTTCAATTGCGTGCTTATTTTTATATCCTGATTAAGGGAAAGATTATCATTTTGGTTTCTGTCTGTACAAGGACAAAGTACGTTTTACGTTATAAAATTTATCAAATCGACAAAAATCATACGAACTTGACACTATTAGTAAACAAGAATCATAAAAACCAGAAAAGTATAATACAATATTGTATCTATAATCATGTTTCAAACTTTGTCCCTTGTAATCAAGTGATTCAACATGGAATCATGTATCTATCTGCATCAATACTCTTCTTGACATTTTTCGTTTTTTTATAGCAATTCAAAGGTGTATTTTGGTGGCTAAACTCTTCGTTGACATCTAGATAAACCGATGAAAATAGTTGACCAATGTTATGCGATTGCTGTTCATTAGAGTGTTTGTGTTGTTTTCTTTATACCCTTATCACTTAGGACTAATGAAACATCTGTTTTTGTACTTTTGTTTATACCCTTATCACTTAGGACTAATGAAACATCTGTTTTTGTACTTTTGTTTATACCCTTATCACTTAGGACTAATGAAACATCTGTTTTTGTACTTTTGTTTATACCCTTATCACTTAGGACTAATGAAACATCTGTTTTTGTACTTTTGTTTATACCCTTATCACTTAGGACTAATGAAACATCTGTTTTTGTACTTTTGTTTATACCCTTATCACTTAGGACTAATGAAACATCTGTTTTTGTACTTTTGTTTATACCCTTATCACTTAGGACTAATGAAACATCTGTTTTTGTACTTTTGTTTATACCCTTATCACTTAGGACTAATGAAACATCTGTTTTTGTACTTTTGTTTATACCCTTATCACTTAGGACTAATGAAACATCTGTTTTTGTACTTTTGTTTATACCCTTATCACTTAGAACTAATGAAACATCTGTTTTTGTACTTTTGTTCTTTAGTCATTTCTTTTTCTTTTCTTTGGGATGATTATGTGAGGATGCTTCTAATGTAATGTACATTTCACAGTTTGTTTAGTAGTTTTCGCGCTCATAATGAATCTTAAATTTAAACAAACAATATATGTGTGTGTTTCAATTCCTGCTCCAAGATTTTGTAAATTATTTCATACATGTTATATTTGACTTTAACACTGTAATACAGCCAAGAAGGCTAATTTGCCACATCTGCTAATGTTAATAGGCAAGTATATTTAATTACAAATAACATATTTGGCCTGAAACATTTACATTAGCGAAATGTGAGACCTGAAACAACTGCCAGCGCTGTTCCCACAGCAATGAATTTGC